TGTTCCATGTACGTTGGTGTTAGAATACATCCACATAACTACAAAGCTTGTTAATTATGAAAAAAGCACACTTAACAAATCCCACTAAATATTCATAAATATTAGGAAACACTATCAAATGCGGAAGTTTCAGATTGACAATCAAACAAAAAAAATAATGATAATTATAAATAAATAAATAAGAAAATGCCAGCACAACACACTCAATACAAATGCATACATGAATCTGAAAGCAAACTCAGTATGAAATTAACGAATATCAAAGTTTGAGAAAATTGACTGACCATTTTTGCTTGTGGTCGATGGAGTACATGGTCGCTCCCTTTCTCGCTAGCGATAGTTTGGAAAAATAAAAACCGGACGCTTTGTGACTGGTTTTTTGGGTTGGTGATGTTCGCGTCGAATATTCTTGGCACGGCCAAGATCTCGTGGGAGTCCAGAATAAAGTGAAGGATGTTACGAATAGTATCGCAATGATTCTAATCTCCCCACCAGAAAATCCAACAGCCGTCCAAACAATTCCAAGCCTCCCGGCTCGAGAACATCTTGAACGAGCAATGAGCTGAGTAAACCCACCCGTTGCTCTCGATCGAGCCCAACGGGCCGTGGCACCATGGGCCTTGGCAAGGAAAGTTCCAATCTTGGCATCTGTACCGGCCGTCGTTGCTGATCGGGCAGCTGTCATTCTTGGCGTATCGAGTGACCAGACATCCTTAGAGTAATCACTCCACGTGCATTGTCTTAAATCTGGCAATTTGGCGGTAGACCGAACAAACTTTATCGGGATCACGCGTAGAACCCTATCGAACACGAATCTTCTGGGCGAGAATCTCAAACCCTCGTAATGCCGGTAGAGTAGGATGACTGGTCAAATTATAGTCGCCCGCAAACTCGGGATGGACCTGGAGAGAAAACGTGTGTGTCCCATTTCTCCCTGACCGGAGGCCTGGACTTCCATTTCTCACCCGAGAGATCGGTTTCGAAATAGTCGCCTCCCAAGCAATGAGGCTCCCATGTCTCGTCCAAAGCCTGGAACGTGAACACGTGAATTTCTCCGGTCGAGAGCTCGATTTTTCGGTTTTTTTGGCTGTCCAAGCCGGGAATCGTTATGTCCTCTGTTCTCGAGTCCTTACAGGACTCACCCCCTGGGGCTAACCACCGGGAAAGGAGACTGGTTAGTAATTCGGTTCCAACTCAGATGAAATCCAGGGGTTTAAAACTGGGTCATTTGTGGGGATTTTCGGAAGATGAGGGGTAGGAAGGGAAATAATCTGGGTCTGATTTAGAACAGATATATGTGGCTCATGGGCAATGTGAGGATCAAGATTTTCTTGGGTTTTTGTAAAATTTTGCTGGGAGAGGTTTGAATCAAGCTACTGGGCAACTATCAACTGGGGCTCAAATGAAAAACTTCCACTAAAGTTTGAATCTTTAAGGGGTATTGGCAGATTTTCAGAGCCACTGGGCTTCAACACAGCAAGATCTTTGTCCAAAGAGTTCATATTTAACCCATCAATCCCCCAAACTAT